GGTGGAGCTGCTGACATAATGTGGACCCGAACATCCATAATTGGCCTACCTGGGGTTGAAAGTCTCGATAAATGCAGGGCGTTTCAGCGGGTACACCGGCTTCCACGAGTGTGACACTTATTTTGAGCGATGAAAAAATAATAGAATATAATTTTATTTTTAGATTTCAATATCACAATAATCTTCCAATTTAGAACTACAAGTTAAAAAAGAACTAATATAAATAAAATACACTTCAGCTAAACACTTCTAATTTATTTTCCCAAACCACGCGGAGCCGCACTGTAAGGACTAAAGAGCCGCAGGTTGCCGACCCCTGGTCTAGGAAATAATCACAAACTTTTTAGGTTTTCTTTAATAGTTTCTTAATATGCTATTAGAAGCAGACAGTTTTGCGTTTTGCAGCTCTGTTTTGTGCTTATTACACAGAAAATACCACAGATAATTGAATGGTAATAACTTACCACATTATTAAGTTCTCGTTTCCTTCTTGTTACCCTATCGTTGTTACTATTACCACTTTATTACGGAGCTACCATGATATTACTTGTTTTTACATTGTTATTATTTTGGTAATTGCATAGTAATAACTCATAAATGGCCACATTATTTCCCTCTTGTTTCCCTCTTGTTAGCCTACTTTATTCCGGAGCTGTAATAGAAAGTGCTACCGGGCTCTGTAGGCAAACTGCAAGGATAGGTTTTAGATAAAATAGCACCAAATATAGTCATAACGACAGAGGTCAGAGTGACAGGTTTGTAGTCTCTAAGACTTTTTTTTTTGGTGCAGGAATGATGTTGTAGGCAACACAAAAGCCATAATAATGGAGGCTGTGGAGGCGATAGTATATAGTATATAGATGTAGCCACTTCATGGTTGCCTGGCCCTTTAAAGAGCCATGGTGGATGCCTGGCTGATTCCTGGCTGATTGTCAGCAGATGCTTGATAGATGGATGCTCTCTGATGCATTCATTGGAGTATGAATGCATGTGAATGTTAGATACAAAGCACTTGGAAAAAAATGCTTGTGCAAATGGGTGTGAATGGATAATTGATGCATGTTGCGTAAAGTGCTTTGAGTGCTTAGATCAGGGGTGTCAAACTCCAGCCTTCGAAGGCCAGTATCCTGCTTGTTTTTGTGACATCCCTGCCCACCTGCTGCTGATTACCTGGATCAGGTGTGCTTTGCTAAGAAGAAGCTAACAGGGCAGGTTAGTTGGCAAACAAGCAGGACAGCGGCCCTCGAGGCCTGGAGTTCGACACCTGTGGCTTAGATAGAGTAGAAAAGCACTATACAAGAACCAGTCCATTAACCATTTACCACAGATCTTGCCTGTAATTCTTGAAATTTGCAAATCCCAAAAACCTTTCAAGTGCTTGTGAGAAGTTGAGGTGGGCTACTCCACCACTGCTCTTACCTTTTCTGGGTCAGTCTTCAACTGCCCACTCTCGAGTATATATCCAAGAATGGACACAGTTTTTGCATGAAACTCACATTACTCTGCCTTTATGTAAATGGTAAATGGACTGATTCTAATAGAGCGCTTTTCTACTCTCCCTGAGTACTCAAAGTGCAGTTTACAATATGTCTCATTCACCCCATTCACACTCACTCATACAAGCACTTCTAAACTCGAGTGCAATCTAACCAACATGCGCACACATTCACAGTCCGATGAATGCTTCGGAGGCTTGATACTAGATACTAACTTGGTCATTGGGGGTTAGTATCTTGCCCAAGGATATTTGGCATGCAGACTGGGGAATCCAAGGATCGAACCAGGGGGAAGCCACAGGGGGAAGCCACAGGGGGCTGCGGTGAAATGCCCGCAGGCTCTGCCGGCAGCCAGCCATGCCAGAGCAGACCAAGTCCCGGGCCCAGAAGCCCGAGGTCCGAGGGCACCTCACCCCCCCGGACGCGGCCCGGCCGAGTGTTATGTGGGAATAGGCCTGTGGGAATAGGCCTGAGATGTTGCCAGAGAGGTGAAATTTACGACCCAACCTGACACATAAATATAGACAAACGGGCACACACAGACACAAACATGAATTCCCAGCCTCATGCACACATATAAATACTCGACATTTGCCCAACATGGAGACAGAAATGAACACTGTACACACACTCCCCAAACATACTCTATACTCTCAGGTCCAGGTACCATCACCCCCAGAGGGGCAATCCGGCCATAGGCCCAGGAGATGTTTCCCTTTGCCGTGGGATGGAGACAAGCAGACCGTCCCTGGTCCTGCAGCAGCAGGGAGGTCCAGCATCTCAGACCCCGACCAGATAGACAACTCCTCCTCCCGGTCCGCTTCATACCACCCACTCATATGTGATGTTGCTGCGTGCTGATCTAAATGGTAAATGGCCTGTATTTGTATATTTACTAGTTCCTAAGGACCCCAAAGCGCTTTACACAACCAGTCATCCACCCATCCACACACACATTCACACACAGGTGAAGGCTAGCTCGTAGCCACAGCTGCCCAGAGGCGAGGCTGCCGGACACTGGCACCACCGGGCCCTCTGACCACCACCAGTAGGCAACGGGTGAAGTGTCTTGCCCAAGGACACAACAACCGAGACTGTCCAAGCCGGGGCTCGAACCGGCAACCTTCCGATTACAAGGCGAACTCCCAACTCTTGAGCCACGATTGCCCCAGTGCATTTAAAACATGGGTGGGGCATGGTACTCTCTGCCAGAAAGCAGCTGGTGTCAGCATGGCCCCTCCCTGAGAACCCTTAATGTCTACATTTATTGAAAATTGAGAGGTGGACACTGGGCGCTGCATGTGTGGTGGTGTGATGGAGGAGGAGGCGGGAGGCAGTTGGGGATGGGGAGGGAAGCACTGGAAGCACCACAAATAAGCTATGTTTTCATTTCAGAGTGCAATGAGACATTAAACTGTTTAATTTTCAATAGAAAAATGGAAAAATTGAGTGTTCTAAAATTTATGACCAGTAGTTTATATGTTTTACTTTGTTTTGAATTTAAAAACTTGTAGATAATGTGCAAAAAAAAGAGATTTTATTTATGTCTTTGTATAAATTTTTAACTTTGGATAATGGTAGCTTAGTGAAGATCCAAATGGTCCCTTGTAACACATTTGTTAATGAATAAATCTTCTGAAGTAAACTTCACTTGGTTCATATGAAACCACTGTTCAGTCTCAATCCACACAGCATTATTGCCGCTTTATAAAGATGGAACCCTTCCCTACTAATGAAATATAGAAATGTGATCTGATCAAGGATCTTTAGACTCAATGGGGAGATTGAAATTGAGTCAGTGTTACTGGATAACTTAGTGTAACTGCTTCTTGAGTAGTTATGATACTTAGCATTGTGACTAATATCTTAGGAACTTCCACACAAGATAGCATTTGTTAGGATTTGTTACATTATTTAGTTATTCTGTGGTTGATGTTAGAGGAAAGCAGAGTTAGTATTTTGCTCTGCTGTTAGACCCATGAATTTAGGGTTTAACGTGTTCTTAGTATAGCTACAAGAGCCATGCATCCATTTTAGTACGCTTAAGTGGTTGATCTCTATAGAAGACCAACCATGTTTTCTCTTTCTCCCTGGTTTCTAGAAAATTGCTGGTTTCTAGTTGCTTTTTGGTGGAGGTAGAATTGGTGCATAAATACTCACCAGAAGTAGCTGTCTGAACCCTAGGGTTGAGACTAAATTGTACTAAATGACTAAGACTTGGGAGCATAAACTCTGTGGTGGAGCTTCACCATTGTATTTGTGTCTAGGGTTTCTGACCTTACTGAACACATGACTTTTTCAGAGGGTGGTATGGGGAACTGTGACTAGGTGTAACTGGTAAGTGTATAAAGGGTAAAAATTGCACAGTTGAACTTGAGTAGTGTTGTAATTAATCTAGTAGTTTGATCTGATAGCTTTATTGTAGACCACGTTAACTGCTTTGAATTGCTGTTGTGTCTTGTAGGTATTTTTATGTGCTTCCTTCAGCTTCCAGGCCTCTCTGGGGGGAAATATATCTCTGCCTCAAGTTTCTAGCTAAAAGTTACTTAGTAAGCAAATAGGGGAAAGTGTTGGAAGTCAGATTGTTATTTACAGCTAAATTTTATTTTGGACACAGATCTTGCGTGTTTGGTGTCATGAGAATGCAGCCATTCGCTTGCCATATGAAAGTGACACATTCATATGTCCTTATATGGTCAGGACAGTCTTCAAATTGGAAGGACTGTGTGTGTGTGTGTGTGTGTGTGTGTGTGTGTGTGTGTGTGTGTGTGTGTGTGTGAGACAGAGAGAGAACAAAGTAAGGTCTTCCTGTCATTTTTTCCACTTCGACAAGTGTTTCACACATGGGTTCAAAGCCACTGTGTTACTTTATATTACATTACTTTTCCTTTATTTGTTTTTTTTTTTTTACATTGCTGATGTTTTAAATAATTGGTTTTAAGGTGTATCCAGTCCTGTGTTTTATACTGCAGATATCTACAGTTTAATGCAACTTACCACCAGTCACGTATACCCATAATAGATGGTCGTGTGCTTTTTGTCTTTTGACTACATTTTTTTTCTAGTAAATTGCTTAAAAAGTTATGGACAAATATCAGGTTATGTCAGTTTCAGTAGTTTCAACCTCTCGAAGAGAACAGAAAACTAATCTTTAGCCCATTTTCCAATTAGTACCTCCTCGGCACGGCTCGCCACGGTTTGCCATTTTTAAAAACGGGGAAATTGCTACAAAAAACCACACAGAGGTCTCCAAGTCTGACAAAAAGCCACAGGCCGAGCAGCAGGTATATTCTTGCCTCGACGCCCACATTTATTGATTTGTTCATGTGGGATGCTCACATATGTTGCTATGACAATGACAACGGACATAAGGTGGTTCTAAATTGTTATGTCGTGGCAAGCTGTGTCTAGTTGGTGTGAATAGGTACTAATGGAAAAGGGGCGTTTGTCCTTTCAAAAGTTAGTGTTATCTTCCTATAATTTGGTTGATTCTGTTCATCTGTATGTAGCATTTTCCAGATGAACCGAATCAACTTTTTGGGATGGATGACTGATCATGCATAAAGATATATTCCATTTAATTCTCAGTTTGTATCTTTTTTAGTTCATAAGGTCATTTTATTATCTGACAGTTTCTTGGTCAGATCCCTCACAACATCTTCTAGTTAACGCTAACTTGTAAAAGTACTCTTCTAAAAACCTCCCCTGCAGAAAGAAGCAAAGCTTTGGTCAAAGGCGGAGCTGGAGGATTCCGTCACTCACCCACTGAACTACAGAAGAAAACTCTACGCTGCATGAGTAGAGCTAAGTTTCCCATCAGGATATCACAGTAGATACTGAGACAAGAGTGGGTAGGTAAGAGCAATTCAATGTGTAATTCAATTTCTAATAGTTAGGGTTTTATAAATACAGCATTTACTATTCCTTAAGTAACTAGTGAGAGGTTTCTGATTGTTTTTAAATGCAAATTTTTAAAGTAAAGTCAAGGAGACTGTCTTTGATTTCATTCATAACTTATTGGAAAGGATTTGCATGTGCAGAGTATTTTCATGTACTTTCTTTAAGATTAAGTACTTACCATTTTAGTTGATTCTTCTATTTTAATGTGTGTTTTGTTGACTTGTTTATGTAAAAGTCACTCTTCAGCTGAAAGGCTAAAATGTTTCTCTTCTACAAGATTATCATCAGTTCTAAGAACACCAGCCAAAGAGATTTTCTGTGACGAAATGATGTTTCTGGCTTTAATTAGTACAGCCTGTATTAGTAATGTCATCTATTCTTTACAGGCTATGCTAATCTATGCCAGAATCACCAATGCGATGGATGGTGAGGCTATAATACTGTTCAAAGATTGCTCAGTGTTTGTCAGCTTTTGTGGAAATGCAGTGCTGTCTTGTGTATTTAATACTAAGGACAATCAAAATGTATCTAGAGAAGGTTTGCTCTAATTTTATAGTCAACATATACAAGGTGACTCGCAGTTTGTATGCAGCAAAAAGTGTCAAAATCTAAAAAGGATGCCAGGAATGCTTTGGAAGAGAGGGGTTGTTTTTTCATGTAATTTGGGTTGTGAAAAGCAAAAGGATTTAAACGTAAATGTATAGTAAATGTGAATACATACATTTAATATGTCACTTGTTCTTTTCACGTTCAACTGAGTATCGAAAATAAGTAAACAACTCTGTTTTCACAGTTTTTTAAAACTGTGTTATAGAAAAGATGAAATAAGAACTGATGTTACAAACCACCAACCCTCCACACTGTGTTTGCTCACGTAAACAGCAGCTTTGTTTAGTTGGCTTTCAGTGTGGCCGTGTTTGATGCCATTTAATAGTTTATGGATTAGGTCGACCATTGTATGTCGGACGTGTAGCACTAAAATTCAATGTGATGTTTAACTATTTGAACAGGAGAAAGTATGTAGGTATTGCACACTGATCCTGTGCAAGATTACACTCTGACTTTACATTACAGTGTCCTGTTGATAAAATAAGTTCAGGTTTCAGTGAGGCAGGTTAAGAGGATGCTGTGGCAGACAGACAGAGGTCAAACATGATGAAGGATCTTACCTGGTAAGCTGGGGAGTTTGAATTTGTTCTTCTATTAAGAGAAGTGTTTTACTGTTTTACTGGGCTCTTGTTGGATTGGTAGCAGGTTCTACATGTCTGCAGTCACTCAGTGAACAAAGGATGGCTGACTATGTCTTTCATACATAAAGAAGCATGTTTAAATTTATACCTCTCATACATCTACTAAGAAGTACTTGCCGCTATTCCCTGTGCAATATTTTGGCAGATGTGCAATTACCATCCCTATCCTTAATCACCATAGCCATTCTACCCTTATTTATTATATCCTATTATGATGCCCATGTACAAACTCCCACAGTGTGGGAGTTTATTGTATATTGTTTTCTTTACTTCTGCACCTTTGTAGTCTTGCTACCTAATTCTGCTGTGCACTCAACTGTACAATGACAATAAAAACGTTTTAAGTTCTAAGGCAATTCACTTGTCTCACAACAGCCTTGACTGAATTTATGCTGTCCTCATTACAAGTTTTTGACTGTAATGTATTTTCAACTACATAGCTAGCTTGTTATATCCTTTATCAATGCATCCTCTAAGGCACAGATGGTTTGTTGTATTTGGTAGGGTTTAATTGTGAAAAATATGCAAATATTTGTAAAACATAAAAGAAAGCAAATTGTATGTGTATTATTACAGAAGTAAAATAACAATAACTGTAACATATGAGCAGCTTAGAGAAACAGTACTGTACAGACACATTTAATTTGTCTGCAAATAACCATGATCACAGATACAGTACTCAGTCCCAAAAGATAGTCAAAAAGCAAGCAGCTTAGAAATGAAGCCATATTAAGCAAGGATTAAAAGGATTATTGCACTGCGATGCTCGGTCTATGAACCACTGAGCAAAAAGGAAGCTCCTTAGTGACCCCCATGTGTAACCACAGTGATTATTACAGGCTCACATCCTTTGCAATACTGCTATTTACAATGACCACAAGATGGTGCCAAAGGCAGTACCAAAGAAAGAAAAGCTATGGTTCCAATACAGGAATTTATTTTCACAGTTTCACACTGGGCTTCTCCGGTCCGCACATTAAAGCAGACTTGAGCAAGAAACTAAACTCTTAATGTATCCATGTGTATGTGTGATTGGGAAAATGCCTTACACATATGCTGTGCATATAGAATAAACAGTTGTGATTATGTGTAAACTAGTGAATGACTTCTGGCAAAACTGCTTTTAGATTTAAGTAGGAGTAGAAAAACGTTGTGCAAGAGCCAATCAAAGCAGCCACCGCTCTAAGTTTAAACCTTACTAGTATCTAAATGGATGAGTTATTAAAAAGAATCTGACCATTATAAAGTCCTTATGAAGAGAGAAACTATCCAAAGTAACCAGTTTGTAAAGATATTTGTAATGCTTATGACCTTTAGATAATTATTTACTTTGTTACTTTGTACCTCCTCCCTTACATGATGTTCGGTGTGACTTAAGGAATCGGGAACAACCAAGTAACCTCGTAACCTCTAAGGCTGAAAAATGAAGCCAACATGAAAGTGCCAATAACACTGGTACCTCTAAAGGTAAATTGAGGGTGATTCCAAAACTGAGGTAATCACAATAGGGCAATCAATTACTTTTCAGACTTTTCTGTGTGATTGACATGTAGCTATTTCCAAACTGCTTGCTGGGACTCACTCTGTAGGTGGGTGGATCGATCTAAACATTGACAATATCGATACCAATGATGGTAATGGTATCAGACTGATATCAGCGCGATTGATATATACCCTTCCCTAAGCTGACTTTATAAGCTGATATGAAATGTTTGTATCTGTATTGGTATAGGCAATACCATCTTTGTATTTATTTGGTATCAGCATCAGAATGTGTAGTATGGCACACCACTACTCATCTCAGTCAACTGGAGTCACTGAACTGGACCTCTCAGTTTGGTTTGTGATATTTGGAGCAATCTAATTGATTTGAGAAATATTATGGCTTGCTATGAGGTACCAACAGTCCAAGACATTTATGTGCTTTGGTGAGTGAATGCTAGTAATTTATTAGTCTGTCACTTTGCACCAGTGATCAGGTGTATCAGTAAATCATATGATTGCACCTTGCTAATGCTGACAAGCTGGACTGGATAGTCTGGATAAAGTAACATGTCTTGGCTGACTGAAATGGTACCTTATTGTCATTTGTAAAAGTATCAGCTGAATTCCTTAATCGTTCATTTTTATGTATTAAAATGATTTATTCTGTTTTTTCTTTCAGATGTGTCATGGTCACAATGAACCTGACCTCCAGCTCTGATCCTGTCTACTTCCTTACCAGCAGATTTCCTGGTATGAGAGACCAGCCAGATACCATCATCAAAGCTGACTCTGCTATCTTAGGTACTATGCACAACTGTAAAGCTGTGTAAATTATATGTGTACATGTTAAATGATATTCTATCTGAAAGAACACGTGCAGGGAATAGGAAAATAAAGAAAACAAAAGAACTTAAGATTATGCCTATATTCCTGCAGGACAATGCGTGGAGGAAAAAGAAGACATACGAAGGACAGTCAAAGAACTAAAAAAGCAAAAAATACCAAAATGTAACAGAAAGCCACTTGACTTTAGGCTGGTGACAGAGAGATAATAATGTAAGGCTGCGAAAAGAATTGTGGCAATCTGAAATGGAAATATGATTTGTAGGCACAATAATTTCAAATCATTGCTTTGTTTTTTCCAAATTAGGTTATTTTATTAGTTGAGAAAATTGATTCACAATAATAATATTCTCCACATTTTCAGGTGGCTCCTACCAGAGTATGGGCAATTCAGCAGATAACAGAACATTAATGCTGCCTCCAGATGAGTTTAATCCATTAGGAGGGCATACAATCTGGCAGGTAACTGTTGTGGCAACAGTTCTACTTTTAACTTTGATCTTATTAGATCTGTTTTAGGGCTTCACTATATAAATTCCATGCTTCAGTACCAAGCCATGGAACTCTAACTACCACCAAAAATTCAGCTCATGGGTCTAGGGGCTTGATGGCTCCTGTGAAAGTTTTGCGTACAGTAGATATTCCGGGGCAAACTTTGCATACATGAAAATTTATTTTCATAAAGAGACTTTTTACAAGTATGGTTACATTTTTGTTTTGTTCAGATTGAGATATTATTGCCAAACAAAACTGTTCCACATGTAATATAATGTTAAACTGACAGTGATGCAGGATGACATCTGCAGTGAAAGCACGTCATTTGAACCATTGCTTGACAAGTGAATAGTTTTCTGTATGTTCCTCATTTATCCTAAAGGTGTTATAGGTTTGGAGGAACTATATAGAGTAATAGGTCATTTACTGCACAATGGCTGTTGAGTTTAAGGAAGCAGTTCGTTTTTGATTTTTGCTTACGTCTTCACCTTCAGGTCATCATAATTGTCCTCCTCACTGGATCACTTTCTCTTGTCACTATTGTTGGCAACATCCTAGTGTTGGTGTCATTCAAGGTAAATAAGGCACTGAAGACAGTGAACAATTACTATCTGCTGAGCCTAGCTTTTGCTGACCTGACCATTGGAACGCTGTCTATGAATCTGTATACCACCTACATCATCATGGACCAGTGGGCCCTGGGACCAGTTGTTTGTGACCTGTGGCTTGCGATAGACTATGTGGCCAGTAATGCCTCTGTCATGAATCTGCTAGTCATCAGCTTTGACAGGTAAGTTGAATTTAAAAAAAAAAATTCAGTAAATCTATCTACCAGGGGTGCAACGATACTCGTATCGATATTGAACCGTTCGGGTGCTTTCGGTTCGGTACGCATATGTATCGAACAATACAACATTTTTAATTTATTTTATCAACTTTCCTTCTGACGATGCTGTCTGTGTTGAGCGCTCAGTGGATCTGCGCTCGACAGTGCAGCCTAGGCGGAGTAGTCGAACGCAGATTCACTGAGCGCAGGGCAAGCTAGCGAGACAGAAGTTAAGCTCTCCTTGCAACATGGCAAATTGAACCTCCCCCACCCTCATTCAGATCTGCCGTTTGGAACTATTTTGGTTTTCATGTGACGTATGACCCTGAAGGTAAGCGCATCATGGACAAAAGTGAAACAGTGTGTCGGATGTGCCACGCAATGCTCAATTACATGGGTGGGAGCTAGTGTGTTAGCGCAGTTAGCTCGTTAACGTGTTGGCCGTCCAGCCCCAGGCACGGGGCGATCGGCGGTAACTCGTTAATGGAGATTTGCCGTGTTGTGGCGTTAACGTCATTTCAGATTAACGCTGACAGCACTAGTGGGAACACAACGAATATGACTGCACATTTACGCCGACATCATCCTCGTGCAAAGACAAGTGGAAGCAGACAAAAACAACAAGCACTCATGCTACAAACTTTACCCGAGTCATTTAGACAGCCGTTAGCACATGATTCTCCTTATGGGGACCTGATATGTTTAATATGCTGCTGAGAATATAGCCCAGAAGAAGCGCATAGTAGAGCTTTTATTTTGGAAGAGCCATTTCTCTGTAATAAACTCTTTTCCAAAGATGAGTGATTTCTCCATCAGATGGATTTATTTTTTTTATCCCTTTGTTGTTTCAGCAACATTAAATTTAAAAACTGCACTTTTGAGTTAAATTATATATTTATAATTTTAATAAATGACAAATTAAAAAGGCATGAACAAATTTTTGTATTGAAAAAATATCGAACCGTGACACCAAAGTATCGAACCGAACCGTGAATTTTGTGTATCGTTGCACCCCTACTATCTACGGTCATGTATTTTGATGTATAAATTTTAATGATTTAAAAATAAATACATAAAACATGTATTGAAATCGCAAACATTTCCATGCTTTATGATGGAAATGTATCCATAGCCATGACAAAGCTTTCATGAGCGTCATGGGTTTGAAAATATCTAATTCTTTTGGCTCTGAACAGCTTCAAATAGTTGCCTGCCTTCTTTTTGTATCCTCTTAGGTATTTTTCTGTAACCAGACCACTGACTTACCGGGCCAAGCGAACAACCAAGCGGGCCATGACCATGATTGGATTAGCCTGGTCTATCTCTTTTATTCTGTGGGCCCCAGCCATTCTGTTCTGGCAGTACATCGTGGGTGAGCGGACAGTACAGCCAAACGAGTGCTACATTCAGTTCTTGTCTGAGCCTATAATTACATTTTGTACAGCTATTGCTGCCTTCTACTTGCCAGTAACTATTATGGCAATCCTGTTCTGGAAGATCTATCAGGAGACAGAGAAGCGAGCTAAAGATGTACAGGGTCTCAAGGGATCTGGGTCAGGGAACAACCCAAATCAGGCTCCACATGAAAGGGGTAGTAGTGGAAAAAAAGGTGGAGAAAGTACACCCAACAACCAGAATATCTCAGCAGCTATGCTGCACCAGGTGAGGTCCCAAAACTACAGCAGCTATGGACTAAATTATTTGTCTTCTGAGAAGAACAACGCAAGCCTACCAGGAGGCGTAGAAAGTAGAGGGAAATGCAACATGTTCTGCTTTGAGATTTCATCTCTTCTGCCAGTTCACCATGCATCCAAGAGACTAAATGCCACATCACCACCAGCAGAACAGAGTAGCTGTGACAGCTTTAACAATAACGAGGCCTGGGATTCAGAAGACCAGTCAGGTTCAGAGGCAGAAGTCGATGCAAGATCTTCAAAAGGTTGGACATAGACCTATTTAGTGGTCTTTGTTTTCATAATATATTAATAAATACCCTACTACATGATGTTTAATGTTCATTACATGTCCCTTTTGATGTTTAATATATCTATATAGATGGTAAGAAGTCTAGAAAGGGGAAGGAAAACAAGGAAAAATATCCCCTGTCTACAAACATAAGTCCAAGAGGATCAAATGCAGCAACCTCCAGTTCTGCTGACCTGTCACCTACAGCTATCACCATGAAAGACGCTGCAGTGGCCAAACGCTTTGCCTCCAAGGCCAAGACAGAGATCAGCAAGCGCAAGAACGAAAAAAAGGCAAATGAGAAAAAAGCTGCAAGGACACTTAGCGCCATTCTGTTTGCCTTCATTACAACATGGTTACCATATAATATCATGGTTTTGGTCAATACTTTTTGTCAGGACTGTATCCCTGAAACTCTCTGGGCTCTGGGCTACTGGTTGTGTTATGTTAACAGCACAGTCAACCCCATGTGCTATGCCTTATGCAACAAGACCTTCAGAACAACCTTTAGAGATATTTTAATGTGTCAGTGGAATCAAAGGAAGAACAAGCCTCATTTTTATCAGAGACAGGCTGTGGCATTCCATAAGAAAGACCCCATGTAGAGTGTGGATCTTTGTTTAAAGCTGCACTTTCTAATCCACAATCAGAGTTGGACGCCTTAACTTTAATGGAAACATAATTAATTGAAATTCACCCTCACAAATATTTTTGTGTTCTATTAATTTATTTGTGTAGTTATTATTGTAGGGTTTTTACATTACAATATAAAGCCCCTTGAGGCAACTGTTGCTGTGATTTGGTGCTATATATAAATACAGTTAATTTGAATGTTATTGTATTCTTGCTTTTTTACCAAGCTACTGTAGTAGAAAAACCTATCGTCCAAAATATTGTATCTTCATTGCTTCATTTGGAATGGATAATTATCTTCCACAGATACTCCAAATAATCACGTTTCATGTATTTAGCGTCATATCCATAAAAAAAACTGGTCACCAGATATTACATAGTAATACAGATGAATCACTAGAATATATCACCTTCAGTGTTTTTGGTGGGTGTATCTTTACATTGCCCACATGTCCAAATAACTCATGGATTAAACAGTTTCTCCACCCTGGGGCCAAATAATCAGTTTCAGTGAAAAAACAACTCTCAGTTTAACTTAAAAAAATAAAAATAAAAATAAAATCTTTAGAAAATTTAATATTTGCAAAGTTTGAGCCCATAAAATGACTTTGTGTAAAATCTCTGACCTTCACTTTGGCACTTCTTTCATGACACACTGTATTTTTATTTGCTGGTCCTAATAACTACGATGTTCAAGTAGATTAATTTCAGTTTCATTTATGAAATGACAATCTTGAAGGATCTATAAGTTTTCTGGATTCAATTCAAATAATAATGTGTAATAATACAGAATGATACAGGGAATACGTATTGAGCATGCTTACTGAAATTTATATAATTTTGCATTGCTTGGGTGTGATCTTTGATCCATTTTTTCACACAAACTGTCTTCAAATCTTAAAGGTTTCAGAGTGTGAACTTGGATTTTTAGTTCTTTCCAAAGATTTATAAATGGATTCAAGGCGGGGCCATTTCACAAGATGTATTTTCTTTCTCCAATTGAGAATTTTCTATCTGTGTGTTTGGGAATTGTCTTGCACTGTCTACCCTTGTTTAACATGCAGCATCATGGCTGATGGCAACAGGTCAAGGATGTCTTGGTACATCACTCCATTTATCCTCCCTTTAGTTACAGTGGGGCAAAAAAGTATTTAGTCAGCCACCGATTGTGCAAGTTCCCCCACCTAAAATGATGACAGAGGTCAGTAATTTGCACCAGAGGTACACTTCAACTGTGAGAGACAGAATGTGAAAAAAAAATCCATGAATCCACATGGTAGGATTTGTAAAGAATTTATTCGTAAATCAGGGTGGAAAATAAGTATTTGGTCAATAACAAAAATACAACTCAATACTTTGTAACATAACCTTTGTTGGCAATAACAGAGGTCAAACGTTTACTATAGGTCTTTACCAGGTTTGCACACACAGTAGCTGGTATTTTGGCCCATTCCTCCATGCAGATCTTCTCGAGAGCAGTGATGTTTTGGGGCTGTCGCCGAGCAACACGGACTTTCAACTCCCGCCACAGATTTTCTATGGGGTTGAGGTCTGGAGACTGGCTAGGCCACTCCAGGACTTTCAAATGCTTCTTACGGAGCCACTCCTTTGTTGCCCGGGCGGTGTGTTTTGGATCATTGTCATGTTGGAAGACCCAGCCTCGTTTCATCTTCAAAGTTCTCACTGATGGAAGGAGGTTTTGGCTCAAAATCTCACGATACATGGCCCCATTCATTCTGTCCTTAACACGGATCAGTCGTCCTGTCCCCTTGGCAGAAAAACAGCCCCATAGCATGATGTTTCCACCCCCATGCTTCACAGTAGGTATGGTGTTCTTGGGATGCAACTCAGTATTCTTCTTCCTCCAAACACGACGAGTTGAGTTTATACCAAAAAGTTCTACTTTGGTTTCATCTGACCACATGACATTCTCCCAATCCTCTGCTGTATCATCCATGTGCTCTCTGGCAAACTTCAGACGGGCCTGGACATGCACTGGCTTCAGCAGCGGAACACGTCTGGCACTGCGGGATTTGATTCCCTGCCGTTGTAGTGTGTTACTGATGGTGACCTTTGTTACTTTGGTCCCAGCTCTCTGCAGGTCATTCACCAGGTCCCCCCGTGTGGTTCTGGGATCTTTGCTCACCGTTCTCATGATCATTTTGACCCCACGGGATGAGATCTTGCGTGGAGCCCCAGATCGAGGGAGATTATCAGTGGTCTTGTATGTCTTCCATTTTCTGATGATTGCTCCCACAGTTGATTTTTTCACACCAAGCTGCTTGCCTATTGTAGATTCACTCTTCCCAGTCTGGTGCAGGTCTACAATACTTTTCCTGGTGTCCTTCGAAAGCTCTTTGGTCTTGGCCATGGCGGAGTTTGGAGTCTGACTGTTTGAGGCTGTGGACAGGTGTCTTTTATACAGATGATGAGTTCAAACAGGTGCCATTCATACAGGTAACGAGTGGGGGACAGAAAAGCTTCTTACAGAAGACGTTACAGGTCTGTGAGAGCCAGAGATTTTCCTTGTTTGAGGTGACCAAATACTTATTTTCCACCCTATTTACGAATAAATTCTTTACAAATCCTACCATGTGGATTCATGGATTTTTTTTTCACATTCTGTCTCTCACAGTTGAAGTGTACCTCTGGTGCAAATTACTGACCTCTGTCATCATTTTAAGTGGGGGAACTTGCACAATCGGTGGCTGACTAAATACTTTTTTGCCCCACTGTATATAAAGTCTACCAAGTTTGAGCATGACCACATACTACAAAAAACAATCCCCACCATAGTGTTTCCACCTCCAAACTTGGTTGGTATGGTGTTTTTGAGGTGCCATTTCTCCTCCTCCTGCACAATGTGTGCAGTGAGATCAAGTGAGTTTAATTTTGGTCTCATTTGACAAGACTATGTTCACCCAGTAGATCATTGGCTTGTCTAAATGTTTTGCAGAAAACTTTAAGTGACCAATGGAGTGAGCTGAAAAATCACAAAAATTTTATGACCTGGAAAAGTAGCCCTTAAGGATTTGTTATTTGTAAGGTTACAGTAACCTTTAAGAACACTGTAAATGTTATAAAAATAAACAGGTTTTTACCACTACTATTTCACAAAGGCTTAAAAAAGGAATGTCCACAATTTAGACTATTTTAATGTGGGATATTTTATTAAAGCAATTTAGCAGGAGCAAAGCAACAGCACAACCAAAAAATAATGATCACATAATCAAATCATATTTAATTATACTTATCCAATTAATCTAACCTGAGTTAATGCTCATTTCTAATACTAATCTGGAAAGGAGAGCTGCTGAAGAGAGAATGGGTATGCATTGGCTAGAAATGGGAATTGATAAGAATAAAGCACTTCAATGCGAGTAAAGATTCCAAGGAATTGGACTCCTGGGAACCTCGATACCCATCCCTAGCCTTGGCCATGATGCCCTTATCTCTCATCCATTTTGATATCATCTAATAGGAAAGTAGCTCCCTTTGGAAATTCAGTCCCCTAGGAATAAGGTAAAAATCCAGATCTTCTTGAAGTTATAATCCACAGGACCACAGTAGACATCCTTGAAAGTTGTAATCCAGAAGAAAAAAAATTGGAAATTCAAGTCTTCTTGAATTTATAACCTAAAATGTACAAAAAATCTAAAACTAATTTTTGGGTCCACCGATGAACCTTGAAATACAATGTTTTGCTCATCCCCAGAAGACCGAGAAGAACAACCTCAAATGTTCCTACAAGCCTTCTTTTTATAAAGGCAAGGCAAGGCAAGTTTTTTTGTATAGCACAATTCAATGGATGGGGCCTTCAGCTGTAAAGCCACATATTCAAAAGACTGAAAACTTCCAGGAGATAGCTGCTTACATTGAAATGATTCATTAAATAAGACAGCGACCCCTCCTCCTCTCCTGCTCACCCTGGCCTCACTGATAAAACTGTAGTTAGGAGGGGTCGTCTCGATGAGAACAGCTCCACTGTTACTTTGGTCCAACCAAGTTTCAGTTAAAAACATAAAATCAAGGCTGTGCTCAGTGATTAAATCATTAATTAAAAATGTTTTCCCAGCTAAAGATCTAACGTTTAATAAAGCCAGCTTAAGTGTTTTAGAGGTATTACTTGTCCCCTCGTGTTTGGGAGCAGTCTGTGGCACACAAGGTATGTTTACTATATTTAAAGATCTTTTAGAGTGCAGCTCTCTGTGTTTTGACCAGGCCACATGTCTCCTGTCACCTAAAAGTACAGAAATTTTAAAACCTTCTAGTAAACAGGGTCCCAGCTTCTCCTGGGAAAAGTCAACACTGCCATAATCCTCGCAGCCCGGACCCTCCACACATCACACATCAGACTGCGGAGACAGGGCATGAAGGTGGTAAGGAGGAACTAAGGGGGGCGAGGCTGCGCAATGTGACTTCGATTGCTCTGTTGAGGGTTAGGGTTAGGGTGAACCTTTGGCTGCTCTGGTGGGGGGTTTATGGGGGACAAAAAGGGATTGGGCCGGGGGGTAGATCTGAGCCCAGCACTGACCCGCTCCATCATCTCCTCAGTGAATAAAACAATGATGTATTGACTCTTTTGGAAACAAGACAAACAACAACAAATTAGCAGAGCCAAATACAAACAGAAGGGAAAAACACAGGTACATAAGTTACAAATATCAATATCTGGGTCAAAATATGTACAGTACTCCACATTTAAAGTCAAGGGAAAAAAATACAGACATTAATTATCACGAGATAGGGGATCAAACAAAGCCCGACATATCCTATAGCATGCATCACAATTGCCCTTTATAATGGCCTCCACCCCCCTTTTATACTCATTTGCTCATACGAGCAAATTATAAAACAATTGTATGATATGATGCCAACATATCATACAATTAGTATTGTATGATATGTTCTAGTATTTAGTATTCTATGTGCCTCTCTTGTCTTTGGTCTCTGTGTTTCTGTCTCCCCTGTCAGCTTTATCCCCTAGTCAACTCTGCGCCTTCAGCCTCCGCTGGCGGGTCTGCCAACATTCTTCAGATATAAGGTCCCCTTGTTGGGACCCAGCTGTTGGGAAGGTTACTTTTAACATGTATTCCACTACGGATTACAGAATACATGCCCCAAAATGTAGTTTATAACGTATTCTGTTAAGCTACTTAATGTGAGTAACGTATTCTGAATACTTTGATATATTGCCATGCTTTTTACAACAACATGAATGTACTATCGCTGTGTGATTTACTACTATTACCAATGTTAGCTCGGTAACAATGTTACCGAGCTAACATTGTTAGCTGGTGTTGGCTGAGGTTAGTTCATAGACTGTAGACTGTTAGACTTGATTAACAATTTGCAGCTAGCATTAACATCCTCCTAGCTGCAAATAATCATGTGCAGTTCTGAAAGCAATACCAACTAGATTTTTAAATCTTAATATAAAATGAGTAACAGGGTGGACATTAGGCAAGGCTGCGCTCGTTGCAGTGATCTCGTATTGAAAACTATTTCTGTATCAGTAATATGTTTACTTTCTGACATGGTCCTGGGTCACTGACCCAGTATTTAGTATTCTATGTGCCTCTCTTGTCTTTGGTCTCTGTGTTTCTGTCTCCCCTGTCAGCTTTATCCCCTAGTCAACTCTGCGGCTCAGTGTTACGTTTCCTGTTTTACTTTGAAGGCCTGTGTCCTAGGTGAATGTATTGAATTTTGCTTCCCTTTGGTCTCATCATGTCTGATTTGTCCCAGCTGTGCTGTCCTCCTGTGTCTCATTCCCCTCATTATTCCCCAGTGTATTTAAGTCTTGTGTTTCTCTGTGTCAGTGTTGTGTCCTCCCTCATGCTGTGTGTTCCTCTTGGAGACGTTTAGTTTATATTTGCCAGTTTACTTTAGTTCTGCATCTTTTCCATGTGTCAGCAATAAAGCTGCATTTTGAGTTATTCCCGTGTGTTGTGAGTTCTGCATTTAGGGTCCTCTTCCTGCCTGCACACAGCTGAATCAAGACAGAAGGACACGACCACAAAATTGACTCAGTAGACTCACATTTTGCCTGAAGGAGGAATGGTTAGAGCAACTAGGGAATTTCTACCGGAGGATAATCCACGCTGCGGATCCCTACAAGAAGCAACTGGAGGTAGTGTTTGTTGATCACTTCCTGTCGTCCACTACGTGTCCCGTCAGTTTCTTGGACATTAAAGCATTAAAACAATAATCATGGACTTGAGAGCAAGCCTCTGTTTTGAACTGTTTGGCATGGGTGGCCCAGGCAAGGAGGACTCAGCCACCCTTCTAAAAACCCTCGCAGCTTAGTTTGCTCAGTCATTAGCTTTGCCGTTAGTTCAGCCTGTAGCTCAGTCAGCCGCCCGGCAGCCATCAGCTCAGTCACCTACTGAGGTTACAGTTCAGCCTTCTTCCCAGCCACCAGCTCGACTTCCACAATTGTCACTGCAGTCACCTGCTCAGGCTCCAGTTCAGTCTCCTGTTCCGTCCCCTGAAGCATGGCCTCCTGCTAACTTGCCCCTAATTCAGTCTCCTACTCAGTCCCCACTAGTTCAGTTTCCTGCTCAGTCGCCCTTAGCTCAGCCATCTCCCCAGTGTGCAGCTTAACCATTAACACAGCCCCTAGCTCAGTCATCTACTCCACCATCTGCTCCACTTTCACCTCAACCATCACTTTGGTTATAAGCTCAGTCTCCTGCTCTGCTCCCTGTAGCTCAGGTACCAGCAGCGGAGCCAGCAACTCAGTTAAACATCCGGTCATTAGCTCACCCACCAATTCTGTTTGTCACTCCACCACCTGGTCAGCTACACACTCAGCTAGGGGTCCCAATACCTACTGGCCCAGCTTCTGCTCCTGCTGGAGGCTCGAGTGAGCCAATCCAGCACTCCGCGGCTCCCGTGCCGCTCCCATGTCTGTCTCCGCTGGCAGTTCAAGAGAACTGTTTCAGCCGTCTGCCTCTGCTGGAGGGTCGAAGGGGCCCGTTCAGCCGCCTTCAGCCTCCGCTGGCGGGTCTGAGCGGCCCGTCCAGCCTTCGCTGTCGCCTGCAGTGTCACCACCTGCGGCTTCCACGGCGTCGCCTGCAGTGCTGTCAACGCCTGGTCCTGCCTCTTCTGGTCCTGCGGTAGCCACGCTGCCGCTTTATCCAGGCCGCTGACTGGACTTCTTCGCTGGCGTGGTTGGCCGCCTGAACTGTTTTCACGACGCCCCTACAATCCACATGGGCGGCTTCCGGAACTCTATTTCCTGAGTTCCAGTGCCTTTGAGGGACCTTTTGTTTTGGACTTGGTTGCTTGCAAACAGAGTTTGCATTGGATGGTCAGAGCTTCTTATTGAGTGTTCTGTTTAGGTTTCCAGCAATGCGAAGAATTACCAGTATTCCTTATGAAACAGGAAAACACTGCCATATAATCCATGTATTTCTTCTGGGTGAGAGGGAGTTATTCCTTCCAACTGTTGCCAAAGGGCTTGCTCATAGGTGGTCATGTGAGCAAACCCTTTCGCTATGAAGTGCCTTGAGGTGACTGTTGTGATTTGGCACTGTATAAATAAAATTGAATTGAATTTATTATAACAAAGTAACTGTATTCTAATTATCACCTATTTAAGCGGTACCTGTAATGGAATACAGTTACTCATATTATTATTTTAAATACGTAACGCCAGTACATGTATTCCCCAACACCGCCCTATTTTAAGTCATACTCTATTGATTCTCTCTCTCTGAACTTTGATATATATGATTTAAATTCAAACATTAAAATTATTAAATAAAAATTTCTTTTTTCCCATTTTGTACTTTACCTTGAGCTATCATTAACTCTATCACATATGAATATTCAATTGAATATTAACACATTATCCTTCATGTCTAATTTAGTTTACATGTTTTATTTCAACAGGATTTATCATTAGCTGAATCTCTTGTCAATATCTTGACTGTATGATTCCAACATGATCTCAATACTTATTCTCTTCATGATTCTGATTTTGTCTATCACAATATAATCAATATAAGTTTTAATGAAATCATATGACATTCTGGGAACATTTGCTTAGTGATTCTGACCAAGCACTAAAAGCTTCAGATAAGATCTAGGGGTCCATGTTTACATTCTCCATAGGCACGAACCATCCAATCACAGAAGTACACACACACTGGATGTCAACTACTTTTACCCTTTTACAACGTGTCTTAAAACCCATTTTTACTCCTTGGCATATGACCCTGATTTTATTGTTCTTAATCTATTGTGCTCATTTTATTGTTTTTAATTCTAATTATCATTGTATACTTTTTATTTTGTGCTAATTGTATTATTTTAAGTTTTTATTTATTTTTATTTATTTTGAGTAAATCTCTCTCTCCTTTTTAAAACTTATTCATGTATCATTTGTGGCATGCCAAGTGTACAGCACTTTGTGTTCAGCTGTGTTGTTCTGAAAGTGCTATATAAATAAATTGCTTGCTTGCTAAAGATGTTTCACAAAGAAGAGTCATTAAAGAGCCCATGTGTTTCCACTGTGAACAACTCTCTTTGAATGGATAATTCAAGTGCATTTGAGGCTGAAAGTATTCACAGATGCACAGGTTTAAATCTGATTAAGTCCTTTCAGAGTCGTCTCTATTTTCAAGTTTTTCTGTTATAGTAAGTTAAAAGTCTCAGTTCAGCTCATCAACTGAATGAAAGAACCTTTTTTTCTGCCATTACACATTTTAAACACAATCTTCCTTTTCATTTGCAAGCTCTTTTTTACATTGACATTATAGTTAGTGGGGCTAACTGCTATGAGACAATATATTTATATGGTTTGAACCACACAGAATATGATCCATTTCAGCTTATAAACTGTAATATTATTCAGCTTTGACTATTTCTGACAGATATTTTAATAACTGTTTTTTTTATTAAGAAAAATCTACCCTTCATGTTGGTTTTTAGTTCAAAGACCAACTTGAAGGCCCTTATAACCTATCCCCAGCTGCACAGTGTGTGAGCTACCAGCAGCACCTTTATTCTTCCCAGGTCCTGAAAGATTTGTGCCTCCATCCCAGTCTTTCCATTTCTCCCAGTCTACCTCACAAAAAAGCACTCTACTGAGCACACAGTGCCTGCGTCATTCCTTTCAGCAGATGGAGATGAGGGGGAGGGTAACACAGAGTGAGAAAGGGGTGGAAGAAGAGGGAGCCATATGTCTACTCTGCATCAGTGTCAACATCACTGCCACGCGAGCCTTCGTCACCGGAAAACAACAAGGAAGATCGTCACACAGGAGAGCTTAAAAGAACAATCATCAATAGCAGCAGCAGCCGCAGCAGCGGCTCCTCCTTCACCAGACGTGCATCCAAAAATTGGGCAAGAAGCTTGAAATTGAGCATCTAAATATTGTCCTAGAAGCTCTTCTAGGCATGACCTGAGGAAGCGGCAGCTAGTCATCGAGCTCTCTTGCTCCATCAACATGGGTAACCAAGAGACAAAGCAAAAGAAAGCAGCAGCAGCATCAAGCAACGGAAGCTACCCATCGCTAGATGAAGGATGGAGAGAGGGAGGAGGGGACGTAAAAAAAGGAGGAAAGAAACTCCATGGTAAACATGGAGGTAAAGGAACAGGCAGTGCAGGAGGAAGGGGAGTGACGAACGGCACAGGACTAAAAAATAAAAATAAATCAGAGTCCAAGTCTTCTGTTTTCTCCATCCGGAAGCGAAAGGGTAACCTTAAAGGAAAAGGAGACGTGTGTTCATCAGTGAAAGGCTCAAAAGAGGATGTTTTAGCATCTCAGCACGATGAGCTGGACAGCACAAAAACACCTGATCTGTCTGCAGATGAGCTGGGGCAGTCAGACACTGAGGCTGCCTTTCCTGAGAAGAGAAAGAAGCAGGGGAAAAGGGATGGAGATGAGAGAGACGAGAAGCATGAGATGCAGCAGAAAGCATCGACCGCAAACTCTCCTGCAGAAGATGGAGGGCAGAAGGGAGGGAGCTCAGGATCAGACACTGATATCTACAGTTTCCACTCAGCAGCTGACCATGAGGATTTGCTTGCGGATATCCAGCTCGCTATAAGGCTCCAGCAACAGCAGCATGGGGGGGTTACCTCAATTGTGGAAACACAAGGAGGGGGAGGAAGGAATCTAATTTGGGGGGAAGGAAAGGATAGGAGGAAACAGAGTAATGGGGTAGTTAAATTAACTCCTCCTGAGGTGCTTGACCTGACCCCAGAATTAGAGCTGGGGTCTGATGCCTTGTCATTCCTGGAGGGAGGATCTATTATTGGCTCTGTCAAGCAAAACGAGCGACTTCCCACACAGAATAGCCCCTTCAACGCAGAGGTTATTGAGAAGAATGAGGACAGGCATCTGGAGCTAAAGGGGCAGGGGCAAAGAGAAGCTGCTCTTTGTGTTTCCACAGGCACAAAAGACCAGCATGCTTTGCTTCAGCAGTGCCCTCACACAGATATTTCCATAGCTACTGAAGGGGGGGCAACAGTCTGCCCGGTGACCATGACAACTGTTGGTAACAGTTTCCACGATTTTACATTTGACAGCACTGGGAAAATCACAGGGGAAGAGGAGGGAGCAAGTGCTGAAACCCAGCAGGAGCACGAGAGGGAGCTTGAGATGGATGCTAATCTCAGTCTTCCACTGCCAGACGACAACCATAGAAGTCCTGAGCCACTAGAGGGACTGAGTTCAAGAACTGTATTTGAAGAAGGTGAGATTCACTTAGGCTCAGGTACCAGCGCTGAGTCTCTTGAGGACTGCTTGAGTGCTGACTCTGAACCCAGCCCCTCTACCAGCACCAAGGCTTCCCCCTCCAACCAGCAGTTTAGGAGGAGCAGCGCCTGCTTTAGCCCACTACTTCCTCAGGAGAGCCCCACATTGGCCAAACGCCTCCTCAAGTCTGCCCACCCCGCCACCTGCTCTAGTCCTGTGGTGAAACCTTACCCTCCCATCTTCCCGTCCTACATCAAAACCACTACAAGACAGCTCAGTTCCCCAGGGCACTCACCATCTCATAGCCCCCTCTCCCCACGCAGAGCTCACCATAACTTTCACAGGTACTGGTTGTTTGCATGGCTGATACTGGTTCTAGAATTTTAAAGCACTGTAATGTCAAAATGATCATATGAGACCTAATTTAAAACGTAACATCTAACAAGATTAGCCTATTTAGCACATACAAAAAACTCAAATCTTAGCCCCACGTGGATTAAAACAGACTATATTCTTTTCGTTTTCATAATTTCTCTTATTTTCAAGAATAATCTCAAAATTTTTGCTGTTATTTTCATTGTTTTAGAAACATAGGTTTGTGGCAAAGTGGCACTGAGCAATTTTCTTGTAGTAAAAGGCATTAATAATGAGAGATCTGCTAGACTGTAAGCAAACCACTAGATCAAGGACGTATTTAGTGTTTAAAATAAGTACTGTATACGTCGTCAGTATTCTAAAAAAATATATATTTCTAAAGGTGCTATTGACATGAAATTCTCACCAGATGTTGGTAACAACCCATCCAATTCACACATGCAATGAAATCAAACCATAGTTGTGCATAAATTAGGGTATTTATAATAATGAGAAATGACTCAGGAAAAAAAGTATTGAACACACTGAAAACATTTTAATACTTTGTCATCACTAACAAGGACTTTTGTACAGTTGCATGGAGTTGCATGGAGGAAATTCATTGTTCAAGTGTGATTTCGGCCCACACAAACAGTGTTCAAATTTTGAGTGCTCGACGGGACCTTTCTATGAACTCAGAGCTTTAGTTCTTTTCAGTTGGATTCAGGTCAGCAGGATTCTAGCCATTTTATTTTCTTTCTCTGAAACGTTTGGTTTTCTTGTTTTCTTCTCTGTCTTGTTGAAATGTGCACCCTCATTTCATCTTCATTTTCCTGGTAGATGGCAACAGATTTTGGTCAAGAATATCTTGGTACATATTTCCATTCATCCTTCCTTAATTATATGAAACGTGCCAGTGCGGTATGCTGAAAAACAGCCCCACACCATGATGTTCCCCCCTCCAAACTTCACTGTTGGTGGTTTTTTGGGGTGATATGCAGCATATTTGACCCTCAAACATGTTGTGTATTATGGCATCTAAAGAGTTCTCCCAGTATTCCACTTGTCTGAATGTTGTTAAGCAAACTTTAAATGTGCTTAAACATGCTTTTTCTTCAGTAATTGAGTCTTGCATGGTGAGCAATGCCTGTCATGGCAGTTGAGTGCATTGCTTATTGTTTTCTAAAACAATTGCACCTTAGCGCTCCACAAGTGATGCTTGGCACTTGGAGAACTCTTATGATGATTCTTTTCACTCCACTGTCTAGTCTGGATCTAACTCACTCGTATTAATTTGCACTAAGTGGCAGACTTGCTTTTTAATCACTCATAGAGTTTAGCTGGTGTAATGACCTTCTGTGTCTTTTTCCACACTCTCTTTCTTCATGTATTTAATAGTTTTTCTTTGGGTCATTTTTCAGTATTGCAGATAATTTATGGAACTCTATGGTTTGATTTCTCTTTACATGTATAGATTGGATGAGTTATTACTGACATATGGTAAGAATTTCATGTCAATTGCTGAACTCATGGCTAAACTCAAGATGAACATTACATTATTACACAAACATCTGAGTGTTTCTGTAATAACATTTTTCTCAACAAACGATTGTGAAGTAATACAGTAGTTTAATGTGTTCACTGATTATTGGATGCAAATCATCTTTCTGTGATATTTTGGATGATCTCACTGTGTCTACATGAAGGAAATGGTCCACAGAGGCTAAACGCTTTTGTACTAAACTGTAAACGTGCGTTTTAATGTTTAGTTGAGCACTTTATCTATGGAGAGGATGAAGGCTCTGTCAGTTTGCCTAAAATGGAAGAAATCAGAAAACTGTGGAAAAGTAAAACTAACTGTAAACACATTGTAAGAAATGCACTTCCAAAGCTAAGCTAACCGAGAACATAAATGTTACAGGATGATGGCTGAAGGTTGGCAGGTGCGCAGAAAACGCTCCAGAAGCCTTGCTAGCCCTTTGAGTCGCTCAGCTGACTGGACAGAGGAACTAGACAGGCGATTGAGAGGCAAGGAGGAAGATGGAGGCGGCTCACTGAGCTCAGGAGAATATTTGGGGGGCCACACAGGAGGAGGCAGCCAGCCCATCTGTGGAACGAGAAGATTTTCATGTGGACAAGTATCTACTTGTGGTTTTCAGGATGTCTTTACAGGTGAGTATTAAACAGGGTTAGAAATTAGTTTTTGGAGATCAGTTTCATTTTTAAAACTGTGTCTGGACATGTGTGGGTGTAAGCAGGAATTATTTAACTTGTTACTTAGTCAAAAGGGTTAATACTATATGCAAGGTCCTATATCAGGTCCCTATATCACTCTGGGAATATTTAAAGAGTTTAAAAAAACTCTATATGAACTTCTGTCAAGCTGTTTGACATCAGTAAAGGCCAGATGGCTCTGCTTGCTGCTTGTGCTAGTGAGGTGCTGCTGATTCAACTGGGAACTTTATGGCAATATTATGAAGCAAACAGACTCCTTATTGGGCTACATTTGGATCAAATCTGACAGGCAAATCATAACCAAATTTTCAGTAAAAATGCAGGCCATTTACCATTTACATATGTTATTGTAATACACTGATTGTAATGCAGTGGTATTGTATCTTATCAGATGATGGGGTATCTGGTGATTCCCACCTCTATAAGGCAGTGGAAACAGCTAGAGAAAACAAGACACACTGAATCAGAAGACGAGACAAGGGTGAAGTAAAACTAAAAGCAAGGCAAAAGGTAAAAATAACTATCCAAATAAAACAGGGAGTGATATGTGATAACCAAACAGGGAAACACAGACACAACTTAATATAGGATAACTCACAAATAAAGACAGAACAAGAAATAAACTAATCACAACCAGAAAGTGAAAACAAGACTAACTGCACTAAGGAAAATATATGGTAAAAAAAAAAGGTAAAAACTCAGCAATGAATCAAAAAACTACAAAGTCCAAAACGTCAGCAGCATCTGGGCAACGACTCAGGACCATTGGACATAGTGGGTAATGTCTAGCTGGAACCTCAGTAAGGTGCTGTAGCAGTTGTGGTACATGAAGGTACTTTGCTTTAATATGGCAGCGTCATACTAAAATGTGAAAAACGTCATTCTGGTTCACAATACAAAACATGTTTGTGACAGACTGGTGAGCTGTCCAGTTTCCCACAACCCTTAATTGTGTAAACAGAAGAATATCAATGGATGGATGGAAACAAACAACAGACATTGTAAAAGGAAAATGTTTGGATAGATGGAAGATCTCAAAGCACCAGGAGAGAAAACTCAAAGAAAATAGAAAGTACACAAACAACCCCACAAACCATCCAAACAAAAATGTGTAGACAGAGATGTCAGTGTTTGTGACAGATCTGTAAGAATTACACTGAATAAAATTATATTGACATTCAAAAAATTCAAAGGAAAAGTAGACTGCTGAGTGCCATTGTTGAGTCACAAATATGCGCTAGTCAAAATTATGCTGTCATCACATCAGTAAATTCAGAACATGGGTTTGGTGATGATAATGTCATTTTTCAGGATAATAATAGATTTTGTCGATGAGAGTGTCAAACTACTTCTTTAAAAAACACATATCTTTTTAAAGAAGGTGAAGTGAAGACTCCATGACAAAGCTCCACGCAGCAAAGCTGATGTCAGCTACTAGCTGAGAAACGTGGAACCAGGTTGGTTTTATTAGTGAAAAAGCGGAGCCAGGAGGTGGAAAAGGTATCATAATAATTGTGATTTTTTTTTAATGATAATTCCACTTTTTTGCTGAACAGTAAGTGAATACATATTTTTCTTCGACTTAATCTGTAAAATATCCTGTTATATACAAAGGTTTGTGAGGTACACGTCACAAAAATCTAAATATTCTGCTATATAACAAAAATAAAGTAAAAAAACAAAACAAAAGAAAACTGAATGACCATCCGACAAATATGGCGATTTTTGCCGGGAGTTGTACACAATTGATCAGTGAACAGTTTCAGTTAAAATATCCCTTTTGATCCATCTCTGCCTTTCGCCCATCCTAAGGATTAGAAGGAGTAGGTAGCCAGTGCACATTATGGTAGCCTGATACAAATCTTTGTGCCACTGTACGTCCCACAAAAAATTCTGTTTTTCTGTTTTCTCCCTGATGTCCAGGTCGAACTCTTCTGGAGAAGCTGTTCTTGCAACAGCAAGCGGATGAGCCAGAGGAGGCTGAGAGGCTCTGCTCTAGGATCTTAGCAATGGGCCTCCTGCTGCCATTCACAGACTGCTTCAGAGAACAGCTGGAGGGAAGCACTACCCACATCACCTCCACCGCATCACCCAAGTTCGATGTATGTAGTTTTACACCACACCCCTATCTTCTCATGTTAGCAGTGAATTCTTTTCATTGTCATATTTTATGGGAGGCTATTTCAGATGAAAAAGGGCATATGTTGGCACTATCATTATATTAAATGATAGACAATGTTGGGAAGGTTACTTTAAACTTTATATCACAGAATAAATGCCCCAAAATGTAGTTTGTAACGTATTCTGTTGGGTTACCCAATGAGAGTAACGTATTCTGAATACTTTGGATTGCTTAATATATTGTCATGCTTCTCACATGAATGTACTATTGCTGTGTGATTTATTACTATTACTGAACTGCACATGACAATTTGCAGCTAGCAGGTTGTTAATGCTATTCATCAAGTCTAACGGTCTGCAGTCTATGAACTAACCTCAGGTAACGCCAGCTAACAGTGTTAGCTCGGTGGTGAGTAGCCTTCAGTAATAGTAATAAATCACACAGCAATAGTACATGGAAGACACTGAAGTGACACATAACTCAGGTAGCTACCACAACTAAAACAAGGTATTTGCAGTAGGCTAACGTTAGTTTTTAAAAAGAAATTACTTCCAGATGTTTGTTAAGGTTGGGTTCTTTTGAGAGCAGCTTGGTTGCTGGCAAACAGAGTTTGCATTGAAGGGTCAGATTCCGCCCATTCCTTGCTTCTTTAAGTGGTGTCGGAATTTCCAAGTAAGAAATGCATTCCTGCCCATGCACTGCTGGCTCTGTTGTGCTGGCTCTAGGTCCATTGTGTAGCTGATGCCAACAACATTAACAAGTACAAAGGCAACCTGATGCACCTGCATATTTGATGAATAGCATAGAGATTGTGCCACTGTTGTTTATTCAACCTGAATATTTTTTAACTGTATCAAAGGGAATGCGAAAGAAATGAAGAACAGCCTCTTGTTTGAATCGTCTGTGCTCAGTGATTTTCGCTGATTAAAAACAGAGACAAAGTTCATCCAGCTGCACTGACTTCTGGCATAGAAATGGTCAAACTCTCAATGAAAACTGCTGCAAAATGTTACTTTTAATGAAATGGTACTGAAGAGCGTGTAAAATTAGTGATTTTTAAGAAAACTGTACTGTCTGTACTAAGTATACTATATAGCAAATGATGAGTTAGTTAAGCTGGACTTCTTGTTGTCCTTACAATTAGGGTCACCAGTAATACTGGCTTTAATATGAACAAGCAAATATGTTTTAAGAATAAACAGAAAGCATAATGCACAAAGGTACTAAGTGTTCCACACAGGATCAACTCATGAACAAGAAAAGGAAAACAAATTTTGTGATTTCTAAGCTGTAACTGTGACTGCTGTTTGACTGGACTTTGTACACAAGACTGGAGTTGCACAGCTCTCTAAAAACGAGTATTTATGATTGACATTTCCAAATGTGGAGATTTATTTGTGAAATGAGGATAAGTGCAACTGTAACTTTTTTTTTTTTTAAATATGTTTACTTAGCACGACCAGCTTTACACATGGGCAGCTGTCAACCAGCCACCACACTCTTTGGATCTCTGTGAGGGGAAACAACCAATTCAGATTAAAGGCCCTTGGCCTCAAGCCAAACCAGGTGGAGATAACAGGAATGGACTTCAACCTGCACAATCAGGTAAGAATAGCACTGCTCTGTAGTCTAATCTGTAGTTCTTGTTGGTGGTTTGTGCATGCCCTAAAACTGATACAGTGTTTATTCTGTGGTCCTGGCTCTATATAAACAAACAAAAACACATCATTACCATAAGGTTATACCAAACAATGAAACAAACTAACCCTTTTGTTACAGCTGGATTGAATTCTGTATATTACAATTTTTAAAAACTCTTACTCTTACTTTTTGCGAAGTAAGCTTTACACTTTTGATTGTTTTACAATCTTTATGATTTGGTAGGCTAACACACAAACATGTGAAAGATACCAATCTTGTCATCTTGCTTATATAAAAATGCATATAAACATTTTACACTTTCTTCGTGTTTATTCATTTCTGGCTTTTTGCTTCACAAAAGCTATTACTCAGAAGATGATCATGATGTAAGAATATGATGTAAGCCAAGAGTGGCAGAAAAGTATGTGAGGTTGGACATTTGAGTCTCTTCCCCAAGGTTTTGTTGAGCGCAGGCACTTTATTGATGACGCTATGATTTCTAAGTTTTCTTCCCTTTTTAATTGTAAAACTTCTTCTGACAATGTCAAGCTCCTTCTTAACTCTTTTACTGACCAATAACTTGTCATTCTCAGTCAGGTTGCTCCTTTCAAAACTAGGCATTGCTCTGTTAGTTCCTGCACACCTTGCTTAAATGATCAAACTTGTGGTCTTTGACGTTCCTGCCGAAAAGCAGACCGTCTGGTCCACTGTGTTTATTCACTGGTCCACTGGTCTGATTGTTCATCGTGAACACTTCAAAGAACTTCTTCACTTATTTAATGAGTCAGTGAAAGAGGCTAGATCCTCTTATTTCAATAAACATATAAATCATCATAAGAATAATCCAAGTACTATTTGAGACTATTAACAGTATTGTTTCTCCTCCATCTCAGCATGCTGTGTTACTTTCTGATGATACTTTTCTCAGTCTCCAAAAGTTGATCCTGTTCATCTGGACGTTTCTCCCACTGAAAACGCTACGTCCAGATGAACAGGATCAACTTTTGGAGATTTACTTACCTGGATGACTGAGAATGCATCAAGACACGTTTCTCAATCACCTTGTAAATAAGGTGATGGACTCGAGATCCAAGTTCTCCTTAAGTGCCTTCCCTTATGAAGATGGCCCTTGGTGTCTGGGTCATTTACTTCTTTTTCTCCAATCAGACTCAATGACTTAATTACAGTAATACTGTAGGTAAAATGAAATCCTCATGATGCTCCTTAGACATATTAAACATGCCGAGGTAACTCCTCTATTGAAAAAACAGAATCTAGATCCCAGCTCTACTATTATCGGCCTATTTAAAATGACCATTTATAAGCAAATTACTAGAATAAATTGCAGAAAATCAGTTCAGGTCCTTACTATGTAGATTACAGACTGCTTACCCTTTTCAGTCAGACTTTCAAAAGCAGCACTCCACTGAGACTGCTCTCTTAAGGGTCTATAATGATCTATTAATGGCTTCTGATGCAGGGAATCTCAGCCTTAGATACCATCGATCAGCTACTTAACAGGCTGAAGATTTTGGCGGGTATAACTGGCTGTGCCTTAGACTGTTTTTTTTTCCTACTTATCAGACAGGACCTTTTCTGCTAGGACTGACAGCTTCTCCTCTGACATTGCCCCCTTAACCTGCGGGGTTCCACAGGGTTCAGTTTTGGGTCCATCATTATTTTCTTTCTACATGCTTCCTTTAGCTGGCTTTATTCAATCTTTTAGTGACATTTCTTATAATTTCTATGCCGATGGCATTCAGCTGCGTGTCTCCTATAAGCCTCATCAGCTGGATAGGTTTTCCAACCTAGTCCAGTGCTTAACTCAGGTTTCTACTGGGCTTTCTAGCTGTTACCTTGTTTTAAACACAAACAAGACTGAGATCATGATCACAGCTCCTCTTGAACTACATTCTAAAACCAGTCAGGTTCTTGCTTCTTTCTGTCCTTCTGCTAAGCCAAACATTCGAGATCTTGGAGTAATATTAGATTCTTCTCTGGGCCTTGACTCACATGTCAAATCTCTGTCTCGTTCCTGTTTCTTTTATTTAAGAAAAATTTCTAAACTGTGAAAAATGGTCTCCTCAGCTGAACTGGAAAAAAATTATTCATGCATTTGTGTTGTGTTTAAATTATGGTAACGCCCTGTTTATTTGGACAAATCATCTCTTTCTCGCCTCCAAGCTATACAAAATGCAGCGGCCAGACTGCTTACACCTTCTAGCAAGTGTGCTCACATTATTTCTATTTTATATTCTTTACATTGGCTCTCAATAGATTTTAGAATGTGTTTTCAAATCCTTGTTTGAACATACAGATCACTAAATGGCCAAGCCCCATTTATGGCCAAGCTGCTTGTTGTCTCTGCTCACAGAGTTTGTTCCCCGAACATGACTGAAGACAAAAGGGGATCATCAGTGTGGGGAGGCTGTGGAACAGTCTACCACCACAGCTACGTTTGGTTGACTCTGTGGAATCTTTTAAAGAGCAGTCAAAAAAAATCTGTTTTAACAAGCCTTCTGTTGATTGACAATTTTTTAATCTTAAACTTTTGTATTGTCTATATTGTGTATTTTGGTGCCAAACATTTTGGTTATTTTAGCCTTTGTATACAGCGTTTTGTGATTGCCTGTATACGGAAAAACACTTAATAAAAATAAACTTTACTTACTTGTGATCTGTAGTGAGATTTGAGAGCAGGTGTAAGAGAGCCTGGAGAGGTGGGAAAATGCTCTGGAGAGAAGAGGAATGAGAATCACTAGAAGCAAGACAGACTGCATGTGTGTGAATGAGAGGGACCAAGTTTAGTGCTTTGAAGACAAAGTTAGAGAGGCAAGGCTGAGATGGGTTGGACATGTGCAGAAGAGGAGTACTGAATATACTAGATAAAGGATGCATAAATGCATATGTATAAATATGGAGCTGTCAAGCAGAAGGAAAAGAGAAAGATCACAGAGAAGATTCATGGATATAGTGAAAAAAGATATGAAGAAAATGTGAAGGATTTGTGTAACAAAACAGAATACTAGAGATGGCGAGAAATGGAGGCAGATGACCTGCTATGGTGAAACTTGAAGAGTTACGCCAGGAAAAGAGCTCAGGCAATGTCATTCTGAAAAATGTTTGTAATGTTTGAAAACTCAAAACATGCTTGTAGAATATGAAATCCAATTATTAAAAAAGGATTCAGAGTTGCTGTCAGGTGTATTCTGGTTGTCCTGCACAAGTTTCTTCATTTACTGCATTTTCAAACTTTTAGGTTTTAACGCTAACAAACGTCGTTGTCAAATTGTATTCACAGAAACAGATACTGGTTTGTACTTAGCGGCAATTAACAGACTAATAAAATATTAGAATTTAACTAAACTGAATGAAAGACAAACTGATTAAATGAAAATGCTCCAAAATGCACATATAAATAAAAACTAATAAAAGCAGTTAACAAACAAACAAAATACTGGTATTATATCACTATTGTACAAAAATAAATAACATGCAGCTGATTGACTCAAACAGATATAATTAGATCCATAGATATTTGGACACATTTGTTCTTAGGTTGCCTCTGTTGTGTATTGCACTGACCTATGTGTGTTTGTTTGTCCAGAGCTCCATGCAGATATCATGGGTTTGAGGCAGCAACATGTAAACAAAGAGGTCAGTCACTTTTCTTTCTTTCTTTCAAATTAAGAACTAAAGGCTACGCTGTTTGATTTTCCAACTCCAACATGATCCAAAATTAGTTTTGGTTTATAAGTAATGCAAGAACAGCTCTAAGAGAATTTAGAGAGCATTACAAATTTGAGCTTAAAAACATCAATGCCATTACTATGGGTCATAATATAAAAAATAACACGCAATTAAGATCATCACAAAGTACGTAAAAGTAAATGTTTTACAGTGTCATAATGTAATGCATATACTGTCACATATAGAATAGAATAGAATAACCCTTTATTGTCATTGTATATGTACAACGAAACACATGCAAAGAGATTTGGATTGTACGTTTTTTTAAATGTGGTGCAGTGTGAGAGACATAAATTATCTAAACCCTGTTTAGTTAATCATGGTTTACTTGATCATGTTAATAAGTGATTGACTAAGACATAATTAACTAAATGGGGTTCGATAACCATGTTCAAACAATACATTATACCAGTTTCATGACAATAAAAGCATTAAATCATTTGAACAGTTAAAAGAGTTCAAATTCAGCAACGCAGACTTCTGTTTTTTCATAATTAAGAACGTTTTTTCACAAGACATGAAGAATGGAAAAACGCTATGGAATTAAATTTAATTGACAAGTACATCAAGTACTTCAAAGTACATTTTGAAAATGTACTTGTCAGAGGAAATGGAGGTGATAATAATGGGATATTAATGGGGCAAAAAATATGCAGTGAAGCCCACACAATAACAAACTTAACTTCATGAAGAGAAAAAAATTTCAAATACCAGACGGCAAAAATATGCCCAGGTTATCCAAATATCTGGGACTTATATGCACATATCCAAAATGAAATGCATATTAGAATAATGTCTTTGATGCTCTCACAAAGATATTTCACTAAAACCTTGTTTAAAAAAAGAAGCTTGGCATTAACTTGCCCTCTGGCCAGCTTACTGTTAAAATGCTCTGTAGCTGATTGCCAAGAGCAGCAATTTGCTGCTGTTTCTGTCCTGGATGCCCTTTCAACTTTACCATCTCTCGTTCTTTAGTGCAGTAAAAATAAAAGTCATGTCCACTTGGGGTGGCTGTAGCTCAGGTCATCTACTGATCGGAAGGTTGGAGGTTCGATTCCTGGCTTCCCCTATATCTTACTATGTAATAAGTTGTTTAAGTGTTAAAAAAATGTTATACTAAAGGTAAACTTTAATAACCTCTATATGCATTACATATAAGTTAAACATTTAAACCTTTTCTTGTTTTAATTTTGATGGTGGCTTATAAAACAAAAACTTTGCATCGTACAGTAAATACTTTTTTGATTGCCTGTAGGAATTATTTTAATAATTTGAAATGTTGGATTTTCATACACTGTATGAAAATCCAACAGGTTAAAATAGGTAAATGGACTTATTCATGTTTTCTACTCTTTGGGAGCACTCAAAGCACTTTATACTACATGCCACATTAACTTTCTTCAATGTTTTTACCTAACATTCATACACATTCAGTCTCTGATGAATGCATCGGAGAGCAACTGGGGTTAGTACCTTGTCCAAGGATATTTGGCAGCCAGTGATCGAACCACCAACCTTTTGATCAATAAATGACATGCTCTACCTCCTGAGCTACAGTCACCCCCATTTTAAGCCTATGAACAACAATTAAATAAAAATTACAATAAAAAAGTCATTAACTATTTCACTTTATATGTAATAAATATGAAAGAAAATCCATACTAACTTTAGTTTTACTAATGATTTTTTTTTTTTAAATTCTGGAATAACTCATGGTTTTACATTTTCTACAGGAAGAATGTGTTTTTCCTTCAATAAAACTGAAGGAAAAACATGTTAATGTCATCCAGCAACTGGAACAAACCATAGAAGATCTCAGGACTAAGATTGCTGAGCTGGAGCGACTGCCCCCTCTGGTGGACAAGGACAGTATGAAAGTCACCACCTCCACCACAGACAGGGAATGTGGAGGAGAGGAGGACCTACTAAGGGGTGTGTGCGATGCTCATCTTCAGACTGAGGCCTTCTCTGTTGGAGGCTTGGAGGCAAAGTCTGTGCAGACATCACCAATGGATGACAGTTCAAAGTTCAAAGTGCCTTGTAGTGAGCCAGACAGAGTCGACAGATTCCTGGAGCCTCCCCCCAGTCATGATGGGTACCTGTGTTCGTGTCAGCTACAGCCTCCTGCTCCTCCACCCCCACTTCTAGGGGGAAGTGAAAGTGGAGTCTGCCCTCCCTATTCAGGGCAGACTGTAGCACCTCCTCCTCCACCATTACCAGAAATAGTCCCACCTCCTCCACCTCCTCCACCCCCTCTTCCACCAGGTTTAGGAGTTCCTCCACCTCTCCCTGGTTGTCTGGCTCCACCCCCACCTCCTCCCTTACCTCCACCTCTCCCTCATGGTCTTGCTGCACCCCCACCTCCTCCTCCTCCTCATCCTGCCCTAGTCCCACCCCTTACTCGTGGCATGGTTCCACCTCCTCCCCCTCCTCCTCCTCCATTACCAGGAGTTAAAGGCCCACCTCCAACTGAAGCCTGTGTGCCTCCCCCTCCTCCTCCTCCTCCTCCTCCTCCATTACCAGGAGTTAAAGGCCCACCTCCACCTCAAGCTTGTGTGCCTCCTCCTCCGCCTCCTCCACCTCCACCAGGAAACATCTATGTTCCCCCAGCTCTTCCAGGAGCTCTTGGCTCCCTGCCTCCTCCACTGCCACTGGGCTTATATTCTCTGGGTCTGACACAGGAGAAACCACCCAGAAAGGCCTTGTTAGAGCCACCAAGACCCATGAAGCCTCTCTATTGGACCAGGATCCAGCTCCACACCAAGAAGTAAAGAAAGTAACATGTACATTTAGGTCCATATGTTTTGTGACATTAATACATGTTGATTGCTATACCCAGGCAGAATTACAAAGAAATGGTCAATTGTCCAAATACTTATGGGCCTAACTGTGTTATAATGATGAAAAAATCATTATGATACATTATCATTATGTTTTGGGGTTTTTTTTAATTCTGGTAAAGACATTCTTAGACATCATTATCTCAACAATATGATGATGATGGTGTTTTAATTGCCAACTCATGAAAAGACCAAAGCTATGCACTATATTGACATAGTATAAAGAGTTAATTTTCAACTGCACATATGCTATCAACAAAGTTATTGTGACAACCCTGCTACTACATGACCAAGCCTGTGATCAAGCACAACTTCTGTATTCCCGGATCATGACTCACTATTTCATGATCAAAATGCTCACAACAGTGTTCTTGCTTTATATTTCACTGTTCAAAACACATCAAACAAAGTGCTTCATTGACATAATAAGTGGTGCTGTTTTGTGTTTCTCAGGGACATGTCATCTTCACTTGTGTGGGAAACAATTGAGGAGCCCAACGTAGACTTTCAAGAGTTTGTGGAATTGTTCTCGAAAACAGCCGTGAAGGAGAAGAAGCAGCCACTGTCTGACACCATAACCAAATCCAAGGCTAAACAGGTGTTGTGTTTAATTACATTTTAAATCCTCTGAGCTGAAAAACGTGCTCCCTCGTCTTCAGATGAATCTAAACATACATAATCCAGAAACATGCAATAACTCACTTAAGCCATATTATAGTGTTTTTGAAATGCATCTTAAAAAAAACAACAAAAACATTGTATTTCACTAAATTTGAAACTATCTTATCACTTCATAGTTTACACTGTGTTCTACAATTTGTACATCTTAGAAATCCTGTTAGGTCACATATTTGTAAGTGGATTTAATGACCTGTGTTGCCTAGTGAATTCATTAGGTTTTAAACAGAGAGCTATATGGCTGATTTCCACCCCATCAGCTACTATAAAAGGTAGAACAAAGTGACTGAATCTGATCAGCATTATCACCTTGAATTTAAACTAATGTCTGCTATCCTTGATATAATGTAACATAAATGCACCAGATCCAATATTTGGCTCACTTTAACCCCTAATGTACATTATAGTCCACAGCTCTTGTTGTCACTACACTGTTGGCCCAACTAAGATTTCAGCATCAAGATATTGAAGTATCAGTATTAACAAAATACTATTTTAAAGTACTAAAATCAAATTTTGTCTTTTATTTCTAAAAAGTAACCACAGTTGGAATCGGATGATGTATGCGACAGCCAAAATTTGATTGGTTGACAAGTGGGCCAGAATAGAAAGGGGAGCAATAGCAGAGTTCACTGGGAACAGGGAAAGCTAAAAAAAAAAGTAATCATGAAAAGCACAGACCTTGGCTGGAGTGCACACTTTTCTTTTTTTAAACACTTGTTTTCACTTCAGCTCTTTGGATGTTATAACTTTGTTGCCCTTTGCGGTTGGCTCACGGACAATGGTTGCAACCAATGAGTGTAGAAAATGTTTATATCTATATTATCTTTCACACAGTCATTAGCTGAAAAACATACCGTGTACACTGCCTCTGTCTGACAACAGAGCTCACTGCTGGTAAATGGGCAGGCCCTGGAGTGGAGCAGAGAGCAAACATGCTCTCTCTGCCCGACCATAAATTCCACTTAAAGCGGAACAGGGTGCTGCTGTCAGATGGAGGCAGGGTACACAGTACAAAAATTCTGACTTAACACTTAACTCCTTTTAAGGCATTTCCATTTGTCAATTTTTATTCAGATAAGTCGATCTGAGGTTAAACACAATGTCCAGAAGCTGTGAGCTAAGGAAACAAAGTATATTTGCTTGTTTTGTGGAGAATATTGCAGCAATGTTACATTATATTGAGCAGGCAGCTGCCCACGTTAAACTGTTACTATCACAGAATAATGTGGGCATGTTTTGTAAATCAGCAGTAGTCATTAAACAGCTGACAGAGTGAACAGAATATACAAAAGTAAAGTCTAGATTCTATTGTGCTGATCAGTGGTGTTGAGTGGTGGTAAAAAAATTCTGAATCTGTGCAGCATCTGGAAGCCAAATGTAAAGAAACCTAACCAGTTAACGTAAAACTCTGAAACAACAGCTGTGTCCCAAAACCTAGGTTGCATCTTTCGGAGGCCACATTTGAAGGCTGATTATGTCACAGCCAGGCAACGAAGGCAGTCCTAATTAGAAGGTTGCTCCAAATGTGGCCGACAAATGCATCCTTCCTTTCCCTGGATTTGAAGGATGGGTCGGGTGTATCCTTCGTGGCCCAACCTATCCCAGAATTCATAGTGCAGCCTGGCCAAGTCCAATTTCCAACAATGGTGGCAGCTACTTAGTTTTAATATTACTCTTATTACTGTTTCTGGGTCACAAAATAAACTTTAACATATTTTCAGGTGAGAATGTAGCTGTGCAAACTTCAAATATCTGTTTGGTTTATCAAGACATCACATATTTGCAAAAGTGCTCCAACGTTTTCGGAGACGTCTGTTACCCACCAGCTCGATAGCTAGCCGGGAGGTCAAGGGTCACTAGAGCCGGCGAGAACAGCAGACTCCCGGCACATCATTTTTAGACACACACACACTCACAGTTTCTTAGCTTGGTGATTTTGTCCCGTGTCCCATTTTGACCTTAGTACTTGCAGGCCATATTGGCCATGTGTAATTTGTGCCAGTCACTTGGTTATGACATTCTACTGTCCCCTGCTGTTGTTATCTGCTGGATTCTCTCAGGGGCTTATTTCCACAGCCTGCACCTGGTATCTTGCCTGGTGTGATGGACCCCAGCCTTTATGGATCTTTTACTTAGAGCTTGTTCCTGTGCTGCCATGGTTAGTGCCTCTGTGCTTTCTTTCAGTCCAGCCACTGGTTCTGGATGTCAGCGACTGCCGGTGGTACATACCGTGCAGGGGCCTGTCCTTCATTGATGGTTCCTCCTCTTGCTCATCTTCTTTCTTGGGTTTCTGCTGCCTAAGGTATTCACTGAGCACGTGGTTGGTTGTGGCCATCTTCCTGATGTACTCGTGTTCTTTGTTTCATCCTGGACCATGGTGCTGACCCTCACTAGTCCCCAGCCTCCTTCCTTCTACTTAACATACAGCCTCAGGGTGCTGGACTTGGGGTGAAACCCTCCAAGCATGGTCAGGAGCTTCTTTGTCTTAATGTCAGTGGCTTCTATCTCCTCCTTTGGCCAGCTTATTATCCCAGCAGGGTAGGGATCTTATCTTTCAGGTCAGTTCTTCTTGCACTCATTGATCCTTATTCCATCGCACTTGGGGCTTGGTACCCAACCTCGGGTGGGAGTCATGATGATATTCCAACAGTACACTATTTTCATCTCTTGCCCACTTATGCTGTCTTGTTCCACTTTTCATCAGTATGTCCTGGTTCCTCAACACCTGATGCAGACCTTGTCTGGGTGACGTCCGAGCTGCAGATAGAGGAAGTGGCTGACATCCAGAAGTCCCTCTTTCTCTCGATGAAGGCGGTCGCACTTTTCTCCTCCTCTCCCTTTCCCGGCTTCTCGTGTCCTTGTCTAGCCTCACCTACTTTTCTACTGTTGCCCTGAAACACTCTCACAGTCTGTTCTCTAAAACCTAAAAGAGGAATTATGGATTTGATCAACTGGTCCCTGAATGCAATTGACACACTCTTCTCAACGAGAAGCCGGGGCTCGGGTGAGCCTGAGTGTCCTGGAGGGACGTCCCCTGCCTGATACACGATGGGCGGGTGGCATAACTGGAGGGACGTGTGCCTGGCGGGACTGTCAATCGAGGACATTGAAGACATCTACCTTTTCGGAATCATGATAACAGGGTTCTTGCTGATTGGAGCTGGCTTGGCCCTGGCTTATCGAAGATTAAAGAAAGCGGAATGGGCTGTTCAAAAGCCCACAAGGCTGCCCGCTGTGACTGAAGCGATCGGACGAGTCGTGACTTCTCAAAATGGGCTCATTAAACGCAGCCCGGATAAGATCTTGGAGAAGCTTGAGGCTAGCGTGAGCACTCAGACTAAGATCTCTGAGCAAAAAATGGATAACATCTTGGAGAAGCTCACGGCTCTCCAACGGGAGATTGAGAGACCAGTGTCGGACTGCTTGATCGACTGTGAAATTGACATGCAGTTGTTCGCAATAAAGGAATACCACCATCCTTTCATGTGGCTACTACAGGGTGGGCCATTTATATGGATACACCGTAATAACATGGGAATGGTTGGTGATATTAAAGTCCTGTTTGTTGCACATTAGTATATGTGAGGGGGCAAACTCCTCAAGATGGGTGGTGACCATGGTGGCCATTTAGAAGTCGGCCATCTTGGATACAGTTTTTTCAATAGGAAGAGGGCCATGTGACACATCAAACTTATTGGTAATGTCACAAGAAAAACAATGGTGTGCTTGGTTTCAACATAACTTTATTCTTTCATGACTTATTTACAAGTTTCTCTTTGTTCACAGCCATTGACATGTCGAAGAGGTTAACACGTGAGGAGCGGATCGAAATTGTGTTGATATCTGGTGAATGCAGTAACCCTACGAGACCACCCATCTTCCATGCTACAGTTAGCAAACTGCTTGCTAAGTTTCGTGAAACTGGTTCAGTGTTGGATTTGCCAAAATGTGGACGCAAGAAAACTGTCACTAATGAAGAAACATCAGTGGCTGTCCTAGCTTCATTCAGCAAGAGCCCACAGCGTAGCACTCACCGCATGTCACTGGAGTGTGGCATTAGTCAAACATCCCTTAGGCGGATATTAGCTACTCACAAATGGCACCCTTACAAACTCCAGCTACTGCAGCATCTCAACGAGGATGACCCAGATCGGCGCACAGAATTTGCACAACAACAAATTCTCACCCTGATAACGACTGGTGTTTAGACTGTTCTCTCCCACTATGCAAGGCCACCTGGGTTGGCTGGAAGACTGTTTACTTAGCCTGGCAGGGCGAAGGACACTCTCTCACCTAAACTCAG